CACCTAATTTCTGTTTTTTCAGGCTTTACAGAATTACACTGGGAGCTGAGACAGCAATTGCTGATAGCGTGGGATCTAATTGATCTTTCAATTATATCAATAGGAAAGGATGCCCATTGCACACATCAATTTTTTCCCTAGCATGAGGCATATATTCAGTTGGTTTTTGGTGGTATTTTTCTTTTAGCACAGAAGATGTAGGACCAACTCTACTTTTAAAGCAAGACACTAGTTTAACTCCTAGTTCAAGCTGCTCCTAACTTTTGATCTAGCTTAGTAAATTTTGTCCAGGTTCCAAAAAACGGCAGTGCCTAAGCTTAACATAACCTCTTCCTCACTAAGCTTGCAATCTCATCATGCCTTTAGTGAAGTCCATTTTAGCAGTTTGAGCCAAGTTAAATAGAGGAAATCTTCAATGTAATAAGTATGATTACTGGAAGTACTGGTTGACTGGAAAGCATTTATTTGGAGATGTTTTGTGCAAGAGTCATCGAAATAATTGCAGTCCTTTGGCAAAAGCAAAACAAGGAGCAGAGAGCATTACTAGAATACACTGGCTGTTTTACAGCTTTGTGAGGACAGCAGCAATTGTCTTTCCCTGCTGAGCTATTACCTTCAGAAGACGACTTGGCAAGAATCAAAGTACAGCTGTAGACAGGATATTTTAGTGATAAACAACACAAGGTTTACAAGCAAAGAAAAAGGATTTCACTAACCTAACCAACATAGTTGGAGAAAAGAGAAAAAAAACCCAAACGAACCCAAAAATCATCAACAAGCTTTCAGGCTCTTACACACTACAAACGTGAGGCAGAGTTTCCGGACCTGAAAGAAAGTTTGTCTCTCTCCTGTGCCTCCCACTCAAACCCAAATCGCTTTGCTGTGGTGGTAGCGGGGAATTAGTTACATCAAAGGGATCTCAGGTCTCCTACTTTCACCATGATTCAACACAGCTAGCAGGAAGTTTGTCCAAATGAGAGACATTTTAATCTGATTTTGCCTTTGAATTTAAAGTAGAAGCCACATTTCTACAGCTGGCAGTATAACTCAGGGGGGTTGTTCCAACAAAATTTTGCAAATATTGAGTAAAACTGAAGTATTTGAGAATCATCTTGATGAACCTTCAACGACCTGGCAGATCTGTTCCTCTCAGCCCCACCGTGCCCATTCCTGGACCTGAAGAGCTCAGCTGCTGCCCCACCACAGCGCTGGAGTGAGAAGAAAGGAGGGAGGTTTCAGCAGTGCCCTGGCCATACCTGGGCTTCCACTCATCTACCTCTGCTTTTTCTCGTGTGAGGGGAAAACCCTCCCGAACTGAAAGTGTCGTCTTTTTTTTTTTTTTTTTTTTAAACTGAAAAATAAATCAACATTTCCCCTCTGGGGGAAATTCTGAATGTTTGAAGTTCCAATTCAGAACTAAGTTTATTGAATACTTTCCAGTGAATGGAAATACCCAATCTATGAACACTTCTACCTAGTAAGCACTAAAATACTGTGGCTTACAATTCAGTGTGTTCATCTATTGACTCCTTTAAAGCTATCCAACTATGTCATGGCATTCCGTAATTGAAATAAATTAAAAATCACACACACAAAAAGAAATAAAGTGTTGAATTTTTCTAGCATACCAAATACAGAAAACATAAATTATTTAACAATGTATTAAAATAGGAAAAGGTCACTTACAGAAAGTAATTAAAATCATTATTGCCACAAAAACTGTAGAATTGGAAAAGAAAAACGCAGATAGATTTGCTTTTTAACTTCCCACTTTCTTCCTTAATTTTAAATTATCTGCTCACTGAACCAAAGGGAACAAAGTATGCTTTCTCTGAATCTTTCAAAGAAGCCATCGCTAACGTGTTTTTTTGGCACTTCAACACATTTGGGTCTAAGCAACCAGGTAATGGCTTTCATCAGTTTAGCAACTTGGCATTTTCAATGACTTCAGCAGCTAACAGAGACATAAAATATCGGAGCTACATTTGGTAAGGCTACAGCAACCTCAGTCAAATTCCAGTCTGAGAATTTATTAACTCTACAGTGTTACAAAAAAAACATGCCAATGTAAACATAGTGTGACATTGAGTATACATGGGGTGACTGCACAAGTCCTGCGCACAGCTCCATCTCAGTTTCATTCCCCCAGCCAAAAAAATTAGAGTTGTACCATTCCCCACTGATTGTGTGGGCTGAGTTCACTTTTGAAAGGGAAGAGGGCAAAGCAACACTCAGTTTTTCTTCTCTGGGTTCTGCATGCCTCAAACACGGTTTCTCATTAAACCACTGCCATCTCTTCTGTCTCAGTGTATATTCTCAACCAAGAACAAAATGCCATGCAATTATATTGAAAAACATTCAAATGCATTTATTCATTCTTTAAACAAACTTACAGACCAAGTAACTGCAATGAAGAACAAACAAATTATAGCAAAACTTGGAAAATTTCAAGCTAAAAAAAAAAAAAACAACCATAAACAAAGGGCATTAAAGACGCAAATACACTCAGGCACTTACTTCACATGCCAAAACACAGGGCTCAAGGAATCTATCCGTTAGGAAGTGTGTCAATTACTGCTATTTAGGAAACAAAGAACTACCCAGAACATTTCTATATAGTGATCTAAGCCATCCTCTGCATTTAAGTGTTCCTTTTGGCCTCGCACTTTCGATCTGTTTTTTCCACTCCTTTGCCTTTATGAATTTGTTTTGTTTTTTTTTTTTTTTCAAATAAATAAGCTTTGGTTTTTATCATAAACATCGAAACAAAAGTCAAAAGAATTTAAGGTAAAGTACCGAGGATCATCTTCCTAGATTGCTATACTGAAAGCCACAAAACTTGATATTATACTGTTATGCCTACTTATCTCAAAATCATACATTTGTTTGTCTAGCGGTCTCTGATGAGTAACATTCTAGATGAGGTAGATTTGAGAAATATTTATATTGCTATAATGATATGAGTGTTGTAGGGGAGAGGCAATGAAGTTGGCACAGGATTTTAATTATCCTTTCCCCCACACTGTTCCTTTACCTCTGGAATATCAAATAGTGCTGTTAGCTGACTTTGTATCACCTGAGTTTCTCACTGAAATCCCTGAGGCTTTATTCTCATTTTGTCTCATTAACCAATTTTTATAATGTCTTTTTTCTTTCAGCCTGATTGCAAGCAAAAGATTTAAGGTAATATGGGGTCTGCTAGTTCTGCTACATTTCACCTCTCCTTTCTACCACCAGCAGTGAGAGGTAGATCAGAGGTGTGGAGGAAACGATATTTGAGAGGCTACGTGGAGACAGGGGAAAGAACTGGATTTATTAAGGGAGAGAGGGAATACATAAGAGGGTAAAGGATGTAAATTTTTAGTTAAAAAGCAAGCTCTGTTAGTTCTACTTCTCGCAGAACAGAATGCTCTAAAAATGTAGCATTTAATTTCAGCTGTTCGACTGAATTGAGGACAGGCCTGAACTTTAAAAGGTTAGTGACTATAGTTTGTTCCTAACAAACTTCTGAGGACATCTCTTCCCAGTCTGCCAAGACTGTCTGTATCAAATGATGTGCCTGCACTTAGATTGGAGGAACAAAAAATTCCTTAACACTAACCATAACCAGCTTGCATGGATCCCTTTCTCCCCATTACATTACTTTCTGCCTTCAGCACAGTCGAGGTACTGCTGTTAACACCCTTGCAGCACAGAGTTGAAACTAATGCTCAGAATTCACAGCAGAGAAACATCCACAGTTGTGCCAGAAAACGTCTGTTGAGCTTTGCTGGGTAAAGCGATCTCAAAACAAAACCATCGAAAAATGAACAAATCAATTAATGGTTTATCAAAAAAATCCCACAAAAGTCAAACCTCAGCAGTAAAATACAGAAGATAATTTTTTTTAAAACATCAAATCAGCACCTTGTTTTAAATTGCTAAGCTCCTAGAGGGGAAGCTCAAATCACAGCCTCATCACTATAGAAAGAATAAAGCTTATCACTTAGAAAGCAGGCCAAGGTTGTCAACCTCTCTTCCCCCAAATCCACCAGCTCAGCAGTAAGGATAGGTCTTGAAGTCTTTGAATTGATTAGGTTTCAGTGCTTTAGCACTGGCTAATCCCTTTGACCACAGCTCCTTAGGCTCATGCGTTCATCCTGGTAATTTTGCTGGAGAGACGCAGGATGACTTAGCTTCCAAAAACCTGGTGTTTTCAGGCCAATATGGCCAAAGTAGAATCAGTCTGGTGAGACTCAATACAGTTATCTGCCACTGCACAACACAGGTAAAAAATCCTGTTTATTACTTTAAACGAAGTATAATTAACCTAAGAAGTCCATGAAGGCAAGACATTTTCTATGAATAGTCTGAATACCAGCTGGAAAGCTGAGAGGCTTTTCATACACATTTTTAAAGAACAAACCCATCCTCTTTTATAGGGTTTGACCAGGCCACAGCTGATGCACATCAACCAGAAGAGTAAGAAGGTCAGTCCATAAATGCCCTCTGGAAGGCACCTTGCCCTGGAGCACATAAAACAGGCCATCCACAAACAGTCCATGCTCTGGCAGCAGTTCCATGTAGTGGCCATAATGAGCCATGTACTGTAAACAAGCTTCATCTCACCTGTTGCAAAATAGAGCCAAATACTTCAGATAAGTCACAGTGCTTGCTCCAAAAAACCCACTTGCAGTCTAACATGAGGCACGAACACAAATGCAAACGACAAGTAAGAGGGCAGAGCCAGCTGGAGCCAGAATGAGAGATGCTGCAATGCAGACAGATGAAAGTTATGTACACGCTCATCTCGAATGATCCAAGATGATTATTTCTAGCAGAGATGGAGGAACAGCCACTGTTAGTGATGTATCTTCTGAGCATCAGAGAAGGAGGCTCAGAAAGGACTCAGTAAGGTGAAAGTTGGTGAATGTCTTGCAGACCTCTTCACATCTACATTGTCAGCTGAGCTACGGGAGCAGGAATGAAAGTCTCCTCATCTTTCACTGGTAAAGCAGAGTTTATCGGTTTTCTTTTTTGGAATTAGTGCACTCTGGAGCTTCGATTAGAATTACAGAATGAATTTCTTCTTCCTTAACTAACCTGTCGTAAGCATTCACAGAATCATCCTTTGCACAGTTCTGAAAGAGAAAAACAACATTTTTAACAGCGTTTCTTCACAGCAAGCTTTTTTTCAGCCCAATAAGAGTAAGACAGACCCGTTTCACAACGTACAGGCTATATTATGGTGAAAAAGCCAAGGCAGCTGGGCAACAAACTGTGCGTATTAGGGACATGGCTCAGGCCTGGTTGACGGAAGAGTCTTCCTCTCTGGGATGAGGAAGAACTGAAGGTTGGCCCCCATCCTAAGAGTGCTTCCAACTAAGCTAATGGGTGAAGTTCAGGCAGGAAGATGGAGAAGTGGCAATGTGTATATACTTAGCACAGTTTTCATTGACACCCCGAGCACATAGATAAGATCAATATAATACTCAGAGGCAAGAACATAACATTACTTGGGGCAGTAACAGAGCACTGGCCACAGCACGACAAAGTGTAACAGCTACAATACTTATGATCCTCATGGCCAAGAGTCACATCTTAGTCCCATAATGACCAATACATGCTGAAATATTTATCCAGAAGGTAGTAAATGAAGAGGCCAGGTCCATGCTTTCCACATAGTTCTGGTTTATTATTAGGTGAACTCAGAACATCCCTATAGAAAAAGGGACTACTGGATTTCGGACTCTGCCTCCATTTACAATTGGGAGGCCACAAAACGGAGACTTATTTTCCAAAAGTCAGCAATTCCCGCAACTCCCATTCAACTGAGATTATTCAACGCAGATGCAGCACCAGACACTCAGATAGTCATTATCCTCTAGAAACATTTCACAGGTAGCATCAATTTGAGATGCCACAGTGAGTAAGAAGGTGCCTCCCATACAAGGACTGTTGTTCAGAGAGCAAAATATGTTGCTTCATGTCCAGGTTTGAATTAGGGCTTGTCAGTGCACTTCCTTTAGGATTTTTATAAAGAGCTACTGACTTAGTTTTGTTTAGAAACCCAGATAATTAAAAAAAAAAAGCAGAAGAGTTTGCATAATCTGTATGCTTATTTTTCCTGAAATAAGGGCACCTAGTTAAGTGTTTCATCAACCAAAGCCTGAAGCAGTTATAGTTAGTTTTGATCTTTTGCCAATGAGAAGCTAAATGTCCTGATTTACTTCATAGCTAACTGACTGTGATAAATGTAAAAGTGCTGAAAATGTAAGTTTCTGGAAGTCAAATACGAACCAGTTTTACTCAGCACTATAAACATGAACAACTAGCAAAGACAGACCTGAATGTTCATGAGAAGCAGTTTAAAGGAGTTGCAAAAATCCACCAACCCAACTGCCCACCCCCAAAACCAACTCAAAACACATTTAAGGGACTAGTAATCTCTGAAATTACAGAATAATGCAATTCTATTAACGTATCTAGGAAAGTATATGCAATTTGCAGGGAAAGATAAAAATCCCTCAGCTTTGGGTAATAATTTCCGTAGAACTCTTACCATTGTAAATACGTAGTCTGCATGCGACACACCTACATATGTAAAGTTCTTTTTAAGATAGGTATTGGGAAAAAAAATGAACAGTTGGAAGCCTACAGATTCCAGTTCAATAGATCAGTTGGCCCAACAGCTTCTTACTAACCTGAGAATCCTCATTCTGCTCTCCAAACATGCGCTTAAGAATTTCTCTAGGGTCCGGAATTGGTGGAAGAATTAGTATCTTAAGCCTTCAGAAAATGAAAAAGAAAAATCTTTAAAGATGCATTAATTTGAAAATCACCATTTCAGTATCATACTTGGATGCAGTCAAGAAAATTTGTGGAGTCAGCTTTGACATCACTGGCCAGCTTTCATTCTCTGCAACTGTAGCCCAATTCTCATTTTTGAATTTGGACTTCAAATTTTGAATTTGGACTCATTGTCTCAAATTTTGAATTTGGACTTCATTGCTTGCAGAGAAGGGATGCAATAGCTGTGCAACAAAAATCTAACGACAAGCACACACAAGCAATGTTACCTAAGTGCAACCAGAGCATGTATATGGTCTATAAACAGAATTCTAATGACTAAGGCACAACAGTGCTGCCGTTTTTGTTATGCAGTGCATGTTACCGATAAAACAGATGCTATTGAAACATGCCACATCGTGGACAGTTACCTGGAAACGAGATGAACTGTAATGCAAGTCAGAGATCAATTAGAATTAGTGGATTGTAAATAAAGGGAGGCTGTTATTTACCTTTTTAGATAAACTAGTAGAATTATCGTAGATATTGCTACTATTAATGGAATGGTGATTATTAAAACAAAATAGAATGTAGAGTCCGTCTTCTCACCTGGAAAACAAAAATGGTAGAAACTCAGGAATGTTTTGAGTGGCTTTTTAGGAATTATGACAATGAATTAATGAATTCTCTATTTCACAGACTCAATGTTTATCAAATACGCTAGCACTTTTGTAGGCAATGACTCATTTTTTTCAAAGTACGATATCACAATGTAGATACATTTGGCAAGAAAATGAAAACCAACGAGACTCAGGGCTGAAAAACTGACAGCACTGGAAAGAGGTTATTGCACAGCTACATGCATGGTAACCCCATCAACATATACAGCAGCACAGGCAGTAATTGATGGCACCGCTGAAGGATTAGAACTCTCTTGCCCTTTTTTCACCTAAAATTAAATAGATATTTTGGAAGATGATCTTCGACTCCCATTTATTTAGCAGACAAAAGGCATTAGGCACCTCACAGATGAAGAATAAAGCACAACAAATTGCAGGAACAATTGTTCTCACCAATACTCTTTTCTTCACTCCAGTCACTATAGAGCTTGCTGCTGTAACACGTGAGCTTTGGTTTTGCTCTCACTTTGATGGTGTACTTGCTATTAGGATCAATGCTAGGAATTGATGTATAATTATTGTCAACCTAAGGTAAAAAGAAAAGGTAATTTGCTTTGTTCCATTACCAACACATTCTCAGTCATTTACAAGCCCATCCTCATTGTGCAGTTAATGGATTCTGAATGTTTTGATGGAAGATCTTTTTGTGAATACTGAACTTCATAAAAAAGGACATAGTAGCACTTAACCAGCACAGACTGCCTAAATAGAGATTTCAAAGCTAAGATTTAATCTTATTCACTGCTGCATCTATCATACAGCATTTGGCATCAAGGATTAAACTAAGACTCAGTGTCTGGAACAGTGCCTTTTTTTTTTTTTTGAGAAACATCTGTGATTTATGCTGCCTTTTCCTCTCTGTCAGGGCAGTGATGCTGATCCAACTTTGACCATACCGAAGTCTTCTGTGATGCCTCTACTGAGATACGCAAATACACTAGCTGGGATGGAGCGTCACTTATTTTTGATCCAAAATGCCAGTTTCCTGAGGAACGTTGGTATTACTCAAGTCTGCTAAATTGGGGGTAAGACAAACAACTAATATGCTCCACAGGAGAAGACTGCCACCTTACTTTTACATTTATCATGCTGTTTAACATTCTGATCAAACAGTACAGTCAGTTTGGCTATGCAGAAAGAGGCATGAGTACATCCAGACACTGAACTCAGTGCTTTTCATATGTCCGTTAAAAACCACTGCAGTGTATTTCCTGATAAGTGTTGTTTAGTTTAGTACACTCTTCTTTATCAGACTGTTTTTACACATTATTGCTTTGCCATAACAAGTGATGGCAAGGACTCAGAAGAACTGCGTTGTACAGATATTACTACCAGAAACCCACTGTACAGGAGAAAAATCTTACATCCATACTACACTTCCAGCTAGTGCACCAGACTGATTCACATACAACATATACAGTTTTTCATTTTTAAACAGCAAATATTTAAGTTACTGTGGATATCAACACAAACTGAGACATAGGAAAAAAATATCTGTTACCTGTGGGTAATGAGAAATTACTTCAATTATATGAGCAGTGTCCAAATCACCACTGCGATATTCAACTTCATAAACCAAACAATTTTCTGGAAAGGTGTCTGATTTGCTCCATTCTACATGTATTGCATCATTAATCTTTTTTAGTGTAACTCTTCTTGGTGTAGCAGGTTTTACTGAAATGCAAAATGGAAGAATTAGTTCAAAAAATTATATTTCACTGATTACAAAAGTGGTTCAAGTCTTGCATTGCATAATATTACACTTATGCCAGTTTAGGAACAGAAAGAGGAAGAAGTTAGCACCAAAAAGTAAAGAAAGAACAAAAATAAAAAAAAAGAATAAGAGTAAAAATGAATGGAAAATTAAAAGAACCCCCCTCAAAAAAACAAACACCCACCCCCCCAAAAAAACCAACCCTATCTACATAACTCCTAAATCAAAGATCAATAGAAGAAGAGAGCATCTAATCACGTTGTCTCATCTACAGCTTATGAGTTGCAAACTTCTCCAACACCACAACGTAAGAGCAAACTACTTTTTAAAATTATTTTTTATAATATAGTGTTACACTTACCAAGGGTGGTAGGATTTTTACTTGCACACACAGGCCTAATTTCTTCAGAATCATCTCTAATCAAAATGCTTACAGCTGGGTAAGTATTGGTGACCTTTGGGAAGCGAAGATTGAAAACGCATCCAAAGATTCCTTGGCCCATAGAATAGTTGTTGCACTTGTTATGATTTTTCAAACCATCATACCTGTAAGAATAATAATATTTTTTTTTAACTTCGAAAGAGAAGGACAGCAAGAGGCAAGGTGGTTTTTAAACCTGTGTTACAAATTCTAAAGATTGATCTTGCATTAAAGTTGTGCTGCAGCATATGTAAAAGTTAAGCTAAGTAAAGTAAGAAGCTTCTCATTTATCTCAAGCTTTAGGAAGAATGTTATTTTTGTAGAGAGTGTCTAGTAGCGGAAGAAGAGGCAGGTTTGCTTCACATTCAAGCATCAAAGATAACAGCTGCTTTCAGCTTTGGTTCACATTTTTCACATGAGAAAACAATTTCAAGAAAAAAAATAATTTAGAAAGCAAACTAATTCGGATCACTTCCTGCCAACAGAATTTCACTTCTGGGATAGGATGAGCTGATCAATCTCCTTCAGCAATGCCTCAGGTATCGCAGCTCTTTCTTGAGACAGTCAAGTTTCACCTGTTGCCTGCATCTGCTTTTCAAATGTCAGTACTCGCTTCCAGTAACGGAAAAGCCATGACAATCTTCTTCCTTGCTTCAATTTGTTCCCTGAGTTCCACATAAAAATATGCCAGTAGCTTTTCCTCCACAGAAAACTGTTTGGTTGTTGGTTTTTGTTTTTTTTTTTAAAGTTATATAGACTAAATCAGAGCTTCACTGAAGAGCACAATAGGAGTGATATTCCCCTACTTCACATGTCCCTGTATAGGGGCTAGGGAAGCTAAAACTGCCTCTCCTGCTTTTATGCCCAGACCCTTTTTTTATCTCCCCTTCTCACCTCCCCACCCTGGGGCTGATGAAAAAGGGGAGGCCCTCAGAGCAGACAGCACCATGCTGATGCATCAGCCTGCTCTCACAAGCCTGTGCATTGGCAAGTACCTGTGCACTGACTGGGTTCACTTGTGCTAAGCTAATGTCATATTCGTGTTCACTCTGAATGAAAAGATAGGGGTTTAGAGGAAAATATGAATGAAGAATTTAAAAAGGAACTAATCAATAATTTTTCAGGTCATTGTTCAGTCATTTCTGGGGGAGAAAAAACCCAACCAAAACTAAAATGAAGACGAAAAACCCCAAACACACAACCCAAAACCCTCACCTGGGTTATACATTACGGAAAATGTATCTTTCAGTTCAAAAGTCAAGTATTTCCTTAGCTTTCAGCTTTAAAACAACAAAAAAAATATTTTTCCTTCTAAGCAGCATGAATCAAACCACTTTGCTGTCACTGCTGCTACATCTTTCATTAAAACTAAGGGGTACGTTGAAAATATATAGCCCTAATAAAAGCATTATTCCAGTAAGTATCCAAATACTCAGAAATTCAGATCTTCAGTGCCTCATTGGTACTGTTCTTGTAATAAAGAAAAAGTTTATTCAAGTAGCACTTTAGAGAGAGAACAGTCCTCCCTGCATTTAACTAAAGCAGCAAGTTTTCTGCTGTTTGCTGTTCAAATGCATTAAATTGAACAGTTAGTCTGCGAGACTGCCACTGGAGAGGAAAAGGAAAAAGTTTATTTACTCAGTTCAGATAAGACAGAAAGCTGATTTAAAACTACAACAAGGGGCTTTCAAAAAGAAAACTCCAATATTTCTACAGAAGCTAACGCAATCTGGCATTTCACAGCCCCATCAACATGCAGAAGTATGCGTAGACTAGTGTGCGCAGATCTTGCTGCCAAGTTTTTGCTCACACCACAACTCTGTTCCTTTGGAACAAGAGCCTATTTATGGTAGTCAGCTTGCAAACAGAGAGGATGATAAAAAGATGTTCTCCCTAACTTTCAAGCTGAATTGGTTACTTATGACGTTGGAAATACAAACGAAACTACTGCTAAGTGTTATTAATGGTTTAATACCATTTTCCCATCATTTAAGAGCTGACACATGCATTAGTGAGTGATTCTGACTTAAATGGCGCTTGTTTGTCAGGCTTCAAAGAAAGAAATTAATATATTGGTCTAACTTAGGTTCTCAATTCTTCCCTCTTTTAATCCACAATTAGAAGAAATCAGAAAGCAATAGCAGTTATTTTAAAATGGGCTACAGAAGCAGCCAGTGCTTCACATAATAGATCTATCAACTTCTCCAAAAGACTCATCAACAGCAACCTCTCAACGCTTCAGCAGTGAAGTTTTCTGTTGGACATGACCCAACACTAACTTGTACACAATGCCCTGGGATCATTCAAAGCAACAGGAAGCAGACAAATGAAACGTGTAATTTAAAACTAAAGATTAGCGCTAAAGCACTTGAGAGTTAGGAATAAAAAGTTCACACAAACCAGTAGAACAATGTATAGTTGGTATCACTGCTTGCATTCTCCCCAGGACGCCACGTACAAACCATGTACTCCAAATTGTGCCAAACACAGCTCAAGTCAACAGCAGCAGTACCTGGAATTCCTGCAAGGCAAGTTGGAAAAGTCTGTTAAGATTTATGTTGCCAGCAAAGCCTTCTCCCCAATTTCCAGAAGTAAAACATCCCACTTTACATAACTGAAACTGGAAGGCAAAGATGGGTTACCTCTCAGCCTGCACTGCCTGTCTCAGCACAGCAAGTGATGAATTCCAGTTGTTTATTGCTTGCAAGAGCTGAAATCTCAGCAGGACAACTTCTAAATGCAAACTAATTATAACAGGGAATCTCAGTTTTCACTACATCTGAATTACTACTTAGAGTTACCTGATGCTACAGACAAGGTGTTGAGTCAGGGAAGTATTTTGTTTCCATTAATCTATAGATACCTTAAAAAGTAGTTGAAGTAACTGGCAATTATAGGGATAGCACTTAGCTTTGTTATCATTTTTACAGTCATCAATGTTAAAAATACTCAGCATTTAATTATAGTTATCTTCTCCAGATACATTATTAGGTTTTCAGTATTCTGAATATGGAAATATCTGTAGATCTTAAACGTGGACAAAAGCAACACTGGGGTAAGTTGAATTTTTGAGACACATATACCTCTAGACATTCAACTTCTTCAACATATTGAAAACCCAAATTACAAAACATAAACACAAATGAGTACATAGCAGTTGTGAATAGAGATGTCAATGTAGCTCCCAGGCAGAGCAATTACAGAATAAAGTCTTTCATATTCAATCTTGTATTTCTGCATGGCACATGTTCTTTATACTGTATTATCACATTATAGCATATTAGATATTTTTTCCTTTTAACAAGTCACAATGTCTCCAAGAACTACAAAATAAAAAGAATGTTCATTTTATCAACAGTCCAGACTTACTGATAGCAAACTTCAAACTACCTTCTACTTCCAAGTTTGCATTCTCCCTGGAGTAGCAACTAAGAGTATAGGAAAATGAAATTGTTTTTTCTATTCCAAGAAGTATTTTAAAATATTTTATGTGCAAGCAGACTTTTAAAAGCCCAAACCTGTTTACTACATGCTGTTCTAATTATACACTTCCCTGATTTTCCACAATACCCTTTTGACAGACTTGCAGATAAACCTGATAAGGTCTCAGATTCTTCCATCCCCATATGGTTTTCATCCACATCGAGTCACACTACTGAGTTAGACAGATTTTTACTCCTCAAGGCAAGAGGCTCTATTTCTTTGCAGTACCTCCTAGCTTTCAGCATCCAGCAGAATACATTATTCCTTAAAGTCTGCTTCCTAGCAATTTTGCTATGGACCCCTTATTTCTGGATGTCAAGAAATAAAAAAAATATTTTTTCTCTATTTATTTTGCTGTGCACAGCTTTGTAGTCCCCAGTCATTTCTTTTGAAAAAGAGAGAACCCTACTATAATTTTTTAAGTCACTCACTGTTATGGTTTGAAATGGGG